ACTACAAAAATAGGATGGAGTTTCTAGTTCATTGTCTTATGGGGGGCTTCAGGTAGGGATGTATCTGCATCATCTAAGGCAGTGTTTTTCAAACTTGGCAACTTTAAGCTGCGTAGACTTCAACTCCCAGAATTCCACACAGCTTAAAGTTGCCGAATTTGAAAAACACTGATCTAAGGAGTCGAATTCAACTGGGCTTACTCCTAAGTAAACTTGTCTAGAGAATGGCATGGCTTGGCTATTACAGGACATTCAGTTGCAGAGCATACACCCTACTGAACTCGTAGCGCTGCAGAGCAGATGTGAACAGGATTGTGGTCTTAAGCTGCTGCTCTGGTGCTGAAAGCACTGGGTTTCCTGTTCTCTAGATCGGTAGCATCTATATTTATCCCAAGTAGCAATGCCCATTTTTCTTTCAGCTCTTCTGCGCAGAAGTTTGCCGAAGGAAGCAAAAAGGGGTAGACGTGCCTTCGTCGGCTTTGTCGCGCAGCAACGAGAGCTGGGCACGTCAGGAGAGACTTCAGAGCACGTTGAACCGAAGCGTGTGCGATGAAGCAAGAAGGGGAAAGAGCAAGAACGAAGGGCGCTGCGTGAATTTGGACGGTGTACGAAGAGGGGCCAGTTCAAATGAAGTCCACGAAGGGGTTGGGGTCATACAGAGAGAACGAACGAGGCTCAAACTGCAGAACAACCGTCGAAAGGAAGAACGAGTTGGTGAGACCGAGAAAGTTGTGGTTAGGCGAAGTTGCTGAGATCCTCAAAAGAAGAGAGGTAAGAAGAACCACAAGAAACGTAGGGAAGCATGGAGCGAAAGATCTGCAGAGGGCGAATTGGGTAGGTGTAAACTTATTTAGCCATTTTTTTTTTTTTTTAGATTTTGGATCCTGCCTTTATTACTTGGTAAGTAACTCAATGAGGCATACCTACCTAATAGGGCTTCCTCCTATTTTCCCCACAACAACAACCCTGTGAGGTGGGTTGGGCTGAGAGAGAGCGACCGGCCCAAAGTCACCCAGCTGGCTTTCGTGCCTCAAGCGGGACTGCTTTATCATTTCTCTAACTTGCTACTGCTGTGCTTTGCATAACTATTTAAAGCCTTCTGAAGAAATGAATAAAACACTAGGCAAGAAAAGAGGACTGTGTGTGTGTGTGTGTGTACGCGCGCAATATATGAATATGCCCTTTGAAGTACTTTATGACTGTGTTTCTCAACCTTGGAAACTCTAAGATGTGTGGACTTCAACTCCCAGAATTCCCCAGCCAGCATGGCTGGCTGGGGAATTCTGGGAGTTGAAGTCCACACATCTTAAATTTGCTGAAGTGGAGAAACACTGGTTTATGATATAAACCCCAATGAAAAACTTAAATACAATATAGTATTAAAGGCCTGGAAGAATACATTCATCTTTTCCTGGCATCAAAAACTCAATAAATGCTAAATGAGCGTCCTTGGAAAAGCGGCTCCAAGACTGGATCAGGCCAAGGACTTGTCCTGTCCAACATTCAGCGCCTTAGTGCCAACCAGACGCATTTGGGAAGCTGAAGGCACCCAAAGGAGGTTGATTTTCCTCTTCTATTGTCGCTCCTCAGGGGCTGGAGTTCAAAATGTACCCTCTGCGCTTCCAGAGATTGTTAAAAGCTGAACAGCCATTTCCAGTTTGAGTCACTTTCGTTTTTAAAGTCATTATTAGATTTTATCCCAGCTTTAATTCAGTCAGCTCAAGGTGGTGTACATAGCTAACGTTCTCACCTCTTATTTTCCCCACAAGAACAACGACAACCCTGTAAGGGACGTCCGGGGAAGAAATGGCGAACTGAAGACCACCATGATGGAATGAAGAGCCGGAATGTGGACCAGCTCTTTGGGATTCCTCTCCAGACAGGGAGAGGACTTGGGATCACCCACAAGTGCTCCAGACAGTTGCTGCTCGCGAGGAGGCCGCAATACAGTGGTCTCTGGTGGGTTTTTAGAGCTCTGGGAGACGAGGGAATAGCCATCTTTGCCCAAACCATGGTCGGTGCCTTTATGGAGACGGAGTTTGCATACTTCCTTTTCTAATCACTTTTGGAAATTACTTGTTAACTGCTTTTCAGCTATTAGGATCCTTTGGAACAGGTTTTACAGTACCAGCTGAGTGTCCTTCGATCCTTCGCGAAAGAAATTTTAAATAAAAGTTTAAGGACTTAAAAAAAATTATTTGGGGGGAATAAACAGCAAAAGGGTGATTAGAACGTTGATTTTGGAAAGTTACAAATGGACTAAGGGTCCAGATGGATTTGAAATAAGATTTTGAAATTAATTATAAGAATCCTTCCTGTGGGAAAATGCTTTTGTTTTGAATATTTAAAAAAAAATATGATAGGATGGGACTTTGAAGATTGGACAGTAGAGGGAATCAGGACGAACTAAAGATTACAATTAAAGGAGAAGAACACTTAAATTTGACCTAATAATACAGAATGGAGCAAAATATTTTAACATTAAACATATTGAGGGATATTTGTGAACAATGGACCCAGAAGTTAATTTTAAAAGTGTCTGCTGTTATAGATAGACTATATTTAAAAGATGTTATGGAAGAGGAACACGTTTCACCAGGCAAGACTGAGACTGATCTGAAAGTGGATTTACAAATGACAGGCTACAAGAATGATATGGAAAAAGATGCTACACTGGACATACAAAAGAAGCCAGCTAATGTCTTAATAATGAAAAGGGATATACAAATAACAGATCAAGAGAGTAACCTGGATAATTTTCTTATATTGGATTTACAAAAGAGGCTTATTGAAGTTTTGAAGAATTTTGTGAGAAGGAACAAAGAAAACATGAAAAGAAATCAAATTCTAGGACATTATTCAAAGGGATTAAAGATCAAGATTGTTAAAAGGAAGGAATATAAAGCTGGTTTATTTGATCAAAGTTAAAATAGGTATGTTATCTCTGGTAACCCTGAATGGACTTTTGCTGATCAGGACTGAATGACAAGGTTTTAAGGATTTGTTTATAGATAAGA